GTACTAGATAACATTTTAGACACATTCTAGACAGTTTATCAGCTAAAAAAAGTTAATTTTGGGGTAAGTTACTCTTTAACCACACTCACCTGTCAGTCCTCTGTAATCAGTCCCTACTCAGCTGTTGCCCATTATCCTCTCCCTCTGCTTGTATAAAATCTGTCTCATCTCTTCACTACCTCGCTGGATCATTGTATGGCTCCATCCATCTGTCTTGTGCCTTTGTGTTCCTCCATGTCTCCTTGTGTTTTAGTTTATTTGCTGCTCCATCTGCGGTTTTTTTGGTAAATAAATATTTTCATTTTTAAACTCTTACCTCCATCCAGATCTGGGTTTGTTCTCCTGCGTTTAAACTTAACAGCTTCCAGTAGATCTTTTTTAACTCCATCTCCAGCTTAGACATCTTTCGTGTTGGACAAACGTTTCATAAGTTGTCTGAAACATAGTGTAACAGGGATTTGATGTTGATATTATGTAACAGGGATGTAGCAGGGTTTTAGAATAAATTTGCTCAGTGTGGATTAATATTGGATGTCTAAACATTGGGCCTCATGCAAGAAGATGTTCGTATTCTTATCCTAAATTTCTCTTGCTTTTGTTCGTATGAAGGGTTCGTATGAACATGCCACGTCAGATTCAACAAACTCTTCTATCTCCAGGAAAAGTGTGTAAATGAGGAGCGTTGATGAATGCGTATCAGCTGCTCGTGCTCGGGGAAAGGTGATTAGCATAATTACCAACCCAAAAACTCCGTATAAGGCTACGTTTCCTGCCGCACAAACCAGGAAGTGTCCATTCATAAATGACATCGCAAAGTATAAAAGAGGAACTCTATGAGTTTGCAGATTGAAGTCCTGCTCTCAGAGATCTTGAAATTTTTTTTTATAAAAAATGTCATTTTTAGCAGCAGCTGACCTGCTAAAACCAAGGAATGAAATGACGACTGCTGTTAATGTTGTGTCTCCTGTGGGTCGCACAGTCACAGAAATAAAAATCAAACTCATATTCACCTCTCTCTAGTTCTGCTCCGGTTTTTCTTTGGTCAAATATTATTAATTTAATTGTAAACAACTGTGTTACATAGTTTTCATTTATTCAGAAGAAAAGCAGTCACGCMCCGCTACGCCCCACCCCCRYCTGGCATACATGTTTRTGTTTGCACATCACATAACTCTACCTCGAAATCATTTCACATATAATAACCAATAATAATAAAAATTGTTCACTGTTTTTGTTCCTGTACTGGACTTGGTGACTGAGACTGAAACAATTTGCACACACCGAGCTTAACTCATTTCGCACAAGTCTGTCATGACTATAATTTCCTGTAACTGTATATCTTTCTGCACAGTAGCTGCTTCAACATTCATCTAATTTCTCATTGATGGTGTGGTACGTAATTATTATTCTTATTCTGTTTTTGCTTTAATTGGTATTGTGACATAGTTGTGCATTGATGTGTGTACCTGCTGCTGCTACTACGCCTGAATTTCCCTGCGTGGGACAATAAAGGCTGTTTCTATTCTATTCTTCTTTACAGATTCTGTGCTATTCCTGAGGAGCCTGACAGTACAGTGCTAGCTCAAACATTGGCACTAAGGCTACGTTCACACTGCAGGCAAATCCGACACAAATCCGATTTTTTTGACCCATCTGACTCATATCCGATTTTTTAATGACAGTCTGAACG